TTTGATTATGTTAAATCCTGCTTATCCACATGGTTTTCAGTGGAGAACATAAAGGCTATAACTCTGGTATCTTAGGTCGACCCTTGTATGAAAGCATTTGCATTCAGTACATCTCTACACTCCTTTTCTTTTTATGTATTACCCATCCAAGTAAATCATGAAACAAAGAACACTGAGATCCAAAGTAAACGGCCTGTAGCTGCAGTGTTTTGCTTTTCCTTCAACCTATCACAGCTCTTCGGTGCTACAATGACTGACCGACCTTGAAACCTGACATCAGAGTGACTAAAAAGCTCTCCCAGGGGTAAAAGCAGACATTAATAAATGACTAGCTGGGTTGAAAAATGTCAGCAAGGGGAACAAGATCATCAAAAGGACAAATGCATCAGATCTGATGGCTCTTTGGGCTTCAGTGAATGAAACATGATTCAGAGTTCGCCGACCCTCCAGCTCGGCTCCTCTTACCAAAAGTTTCATCTGTTGTCGGTGCATTAGAGGTGACACGCCAGGTAACGGCTTCCTCAAACAGCTGGAGGGGGTCATAGGACAGCAGCCTCGGGCCAATCAGAGGCCACCGAGCGCTCAGCATTCCTGAACGTCTGCAGATTGTTTGATATTGGATAACCCTGAATCGCTCTCTGCACATTTTTTCACAACGTCACCTTCACTACAGTCTGACATTGAGTGGTTTAAGAGATGAGAATATTTTCTTCTTCCTTCAGGTACTGGATGAAAGGATAACTAATACTATCTTATATCTCTTGGATCTCATGTTTCATAACTTTGACAAAAGATGGGGGAAATGAGTAAGGTATACAACAAAAAAGATGACTTGAGACCCTCCTCATTTATCCAATAGCAAGCCAAGATATTTCACAAAAAAACACAAGAATCAAAAGATCACCATTAACATTAAGCCTCTAGTAATCAAACATGTCATGGCTATAAACCTAGGATATTTCAGTCTGGATCAAAGTGGTGGACTGCTGTTTTTGAAAGGGCCCCATTCTGCTCATTTTCATTGTATTGTTTGCCTCTACAGTGATATGTTTTCCATACTTTAATGTTCTAAAAAATGTATTTATTTTTCTCATACTGCCTGTGCTGCAGCACCCCTTTTCACCCTCTGTCTGAAACCAGAGCCCAGTCTGCTCTGATTGGTTAGCTGGTTGTGATTGGTCAACTGCTTAGAGATGTCCCGTGCTTTAGCCTCACGTACAATGTGTTGGAGCGCTAGCCAATAGTAGTGCGGGTCTTACATAGTGATGTCACGATGTTCAGGAAGTAAACAAAGGAGTCCAATGGTGTTTCAGTCAGGGGAGAAACTCCCTCTGGAGGGACCATAGGGATTTTAGGCTTTGCAGACAATTTACATTCACAAAAACCTATATAACAGGGAATGAAAACCCCCAAAAAGCCTAATAAGGCCTCTTTAAGTCCTAATAGCTAAGAAATAACCTATTATGTGATGCACAGAGAGCACATTAATAATAAAGTTTGTGTTGTTTGCTGTCGGAGCTCAAAGGGTTGAGGAACAGGAGGATGTGTGAGGGAGTGAGGCAGAGAGAAGGCCCGTTCACAGCGACATGCATTATGTGAGGGTGTCTTCATTAATGAATAAACCTCCACAGCTTTGTGTTTCAGGAGGAAAAAAGAAACCTTCCTGATTGATTCAACAAAGAGAGAGCAGACACAATTTAAACCTTTACAAGACAAAGAACATGTAGCAAGAAATTTAGAACTTCCTGACGGGCAGACCCCATTCAGTGCGGGTGGGAAACCTCACATCCTCCACCCTGATCCTCAACACTGGAGCCCCTCAAGGCTGCGTGCTCAGCCCTCTCCTCTACTCCCTGTTCACACACGACTGCGTGGCCACACACAGCTCCAACACCATCGTGAAGTTTGCTGAGGACACGAATATGATGTAATTATAAGCTTTTAAGAAGGTAAAAACTACAGAATTGTTTTGGCTTTTTGCCTAAAGAAAATGTCTGAATTATATATTTGGTAATTTCTTCAGTAGCATGATGACTGAACTAAAAAAAATGTATGCATGCAATTGACATTTACTTTTATTTCTATATATATTTTTCTCAACTACTCTATAAATGCCAATAACAGTTTTGCATAGTCCAAGTTGACCTGTCAAAATACTTTAAAGAATGACACTAAAATTTACCCCCAACCCCCCAATGTAATGTGTAGGTTATTTGCAGGTAATCATTTCTGACTTACTGTATATTATATACATGTTCCTGCTTCAATTAACATCTATTATGCTAGCAAGCTTTGAGGGAAGATCAGTATTAATACCTTAAAGCTCTGATTTTATGAATGTACACAAAATATCTATTAAAACTGCTGAACAAATCAAAAGACCCTACTACTGCTACCCTTATTTATCTTTTAAAGATGCATGGATCATGGGTGTATCATTATTAGGGCAGAGGGGGGTGCAGGGTGTCCCATGTTGTTTGGGGTCAGCGGTATTTGGGAGTCTCTGCCTTTGTTCGAACCTCATCAAGTGTGAAAAACGGGGGCAGGCCTGAGGCCCTCTGCTGCAGCAGATCATCCCACAGAACAAGCAAACATTTGAGAGGAACAACATTCATTTTGGGGTTGAATGTTGGCAGCTGTCACTCACACGAACAGGACATAAGGGTCACGACTTATGGAGGGTGAGGCATCATCTCCATCAGGATGAACAATTCAACAAGCAGATAATGACGTCTGTGCATCCCTGGAGAAAAGAAAACTAACATACGAGGCAAACGTCTTACAAGCATCCAATTCTGCCTTTTTCTGTTATAGTTAGGGCTGAATTGTTAATTAAAATTAAAATATGGAGTTATAATGTTTGTTAGAAATGTGTGTGAAATGGTACTATGATACCAGATGATGTTTCATATGCCATACTGTTCAAATTAAGCAGTTATTTTACAAATGCTTTTAATCCTACAGTAATTAAAGTAACTCATAAATGTGCTGTTACAGTCTCTTTGGATTTGTTCAATTTCCCGTATGTTATTTTACTCACAATCAACTATCACACACAATATGTGCCATCTTGGCCACAATGTTATCATTAAGCACTAGACAGACAAACTGTGTTTTAATGGATATGAGGAAGCGAGACCTCCCACAAAACCACGACAGCTACAGCTGAAAGCAGAATCACTGCATGTGTTTTTAAGTCATTCTGACCTCATTTAGACTAATGACCGGCAACAGATGGCACAGGTTCACATTTCATAGTTAAGATGGACTATAGAGAGAGTGTTTAGCTCCAAACAAATCTAAACAGGAACTGTAACCTGAGCTGAATCACTGCACAACGTCCAGTCATTTGAAAATTAGTGGTCTTCCATTTGGTTAATGAAATTTAGAGATGACAATGTGAAAAAATAAAAAGGTGGAAGCTCATGATGACGCTTGAGAAAAACTGTAAAAACCACACTAACTGCTCAACAGCTAAAAAAGACAGACAATTAGAGAGCAGCTGGTGAACATAGTGAAATATATTTCATCAGGAGAAGTGACTAATAATGGACTTAAATTCATTAATAAGGCACAAAGAAAGTCCTTGTGTGTCTGCTTGTTGTGTAATAAGTTCACCATATCAACTAAAAGGTGATTTGTTAATATTGTGTTCACAAGTTGTTACCGCTGCCACCAGGTGGCCAAAAATATCAGTCATTGCTCGTTTATTGTAGAAAAGCTAAGGCTCTGACCTTCATATTTCTGTAATTTCTCTTGTCAATGCTACAGTGGTGGCTGCTGGCTTATCCTGACCAAGGACAACAGGTTACCATACCGTCCTGCTTAAAGTCAAATATTACCTCCTCTAATGGCCTTTACCTGGGTCATTAACTGCCTAAAGTCCAACAACAAGGACATGATGGCAGTAGTACCAAACCACTTTGATAATCCTGTGAAATCACTGCAGCTAATGGCACTCATATCCTATGAAATAACTATTCTGGGTTCACATGCTGGTGGGAGACCCCAATACTCATGCCTGATATCCCTGGAGGGCCGACACATTTTAACCTTGTGTCCATTATATATTTACATACCAAATATAGTGTTACAAACACATACAATTGCATTTTCTGTTGAAGTACTAAATGCATGAACAGAAAACTTAAAGATTGCCCTGAAAATTATATTTTGTAAAAAAAATCCCTGAATGTGCAATTCAACCCTTATTTAAACTTGTTGACCTTTTTCAAAATCCTGTTTCATGAGGACATAATGTGGTTTGAGCACAGTGATTTCACTTGCAATACTTCAGCAAGCTTTTCTTTTCTCCTAAGTGAGGAAAGGCCACAAAGGGTGATGATGGAAGTCCCCCTCCCCTCCCCCGGCCTCGCCCCTCTCCTCTCCGCCCCTCGTTTGGGGATGCAGGAGCTCATCACTATCTCTGGACCAGGCCCGTTTTATCCCCTCACACACATACATACACACACACACACAGACACAGACACACACACACACACACACACACCACTGAATCACGTTGCATTAAAAAAAATCCTAAAATTGCTTCCAGCTGGCTGCGAGTAAACCTTGTCCCGACAGAAAGCTGAAACAAAAGCATGTCTTGCACAATAATTTGCCCAAAATGCGCACACAGGGTTGCACACTTGCTCCGACTGACTCTGCAGTGCAGTTCAGACCCGAAAACTGCGGCTGCTTTTGGATTTAAAACACCGAAAAACAAAACTTTTACTGATTTAAACCGTCCTCCTGCTTTCAAACAAAAGGCTGCTACAAAATTCCGCTGCAGATAAACTGTCTTTCACGTCGTAGTGGTGAAAGTACCCGGCCTCCATGTGTGTAGTTTTTCACCACTAACGGTATGATGCTGCTGCACCGTGCATCCTCAGCGTGCACAAACCCGGACAAGAAACCCCCCGGGGAAGAGCCAGGAGAAAGAGGTGCAGAGAGAGAGGGGGGAGGAACGAGACCGAGATGGCCGGGGCTGAAGGACTCACCAGTCGGTGTCCGAGGTCTCGTCAATGACGTCCTGGTAGGCGGTCAGCAGGTCCAGTCTGTTCTTGCCCAGATTCACAGCCATGTTTCCGTCCCTGCAAGCATCCAGACCGCTGCTGATGGAGAGAGACGCGGAGTGAGACGAGAGGACGAAGAGGAGGAGGAGGAAGAGGAGACAAAGAGGCCGGTCGAGGGGTCCTAGCGCCGGGAAGTTACAGGCTGAACAGCCTCATGGGTCCTAGTGCCCAGCTTCGTGTTGTTTTTTAGTGGAAGCAAATCTGAGAGGGTACGGAAGAGGATTAGGGACACATGAGGAAAGATTGTTGGGACGTGACCAAAAGTTTAAGAATAAAATGGAGTTCTGGTTTGGGTGCATTCACACCTAATAGTCCGTTTTCTGGTGCGCACCAGACCACACACGGGCAAAACTCAAACGGACTATAAACTTTAAACACAAGTCATGTGCACGGAAATGCAGTTCAACCATTGGTCAGACATTAAGGGGGTAAAAACGCAAATCCCGGTAATTTCTACCGGAGCCTCCGCCATGGAGCATCGGCACTTTCGGCAGGTTATTCTTTCACACGCAGTGACGTCACGAGCTACCCACAATGCAACGCGCGCCATATATATATATATATATATATATATAAATACGCCATTTTCCTGGAGGTGCAAATATCCTGGAGGTGCAAATATAAACAGCTAGCTAACGTTGCCAGGCAGAGCGCACTAGGTTTTTTTTCTGAATTAACGACCGAAGAAATCGCTGCATGTATTCGGATTACATCTCTGGACTTGAGGGGTGTGCTCTAGGTCGTTACCAGCGTAAACTAGAGCTGTGTGGGTTGTCGGATTGCCCTTACAGACTGCCTGCAGATGTATGGAAAAACGACCCTCGAAAGTGGCCGATTTTGGCTGCATCTACGTCTAATTTCTGGAAACACCAGGTGAATACCCCACTTGTCACAATAATATTATCATGCCATTGCATATATGTGGTATTTTAGAGTTGACTAGATATTGATTAAGGCAATAGACTATGATATTCTGCTTGCACCTCGTGTGAAATGGCGGATACCGGAAGTACGGTGTCGCCCTCGGCCCAATACCCGTATGTGTGTGTGAAAGAATTCTCATGCTGCTGTTAATCTGGAGATCAACAGACTCTAGTGGCCCGCGCATATGATTATATAATCAGACAACGTCCGTTAAAAAACATGATAACATAATGAGAGACGTTCTGCAGTAAGGAGGGGCGTTTCACCGACGACAGGTGTTCTTACTTTTATGTATAGCTGACGGAGATGTTTTACTTTACACGACACTGTTCAACACTTCATTCTGCTTCACTCTTTAAATTAACAACCGCGGATGTCTTGAAAGACTCTTTCGCTAAAGATTTTGAAGATATCCGCGTTACGCTTGCTGCGGACTGCGTTCACTTAGAGTTCGAAAGCAAGCACTCCGAGACCACCTATTTTAGCGGACCAGAGTCCGGTTGTTTAGTTCACTTAAGAGGTCTCGGATTGTGTTCACACCGACCCAAATGAACCACACCAAGCGGCTAAACGCACCAGGGTTCGATTCAACCGGACTATACAAGGCAGGTGTGAACGCACCTCTCAGAATATTGAAGAAAAAGTCATAATTTGAAGAACAAAATTATCATATTTAAAAACAAAATTATTATATATATTATTTATTTTTAGGTATGGGATAGAGATAATTTTCAGGAAAAAAATTGGAAAACAAATCTGAATTTTTCTTTTGAAAATCTGTGAATTCTGAGACTAAAGTCAGAATCCCAACATTTTTCAAAAATAAATTCTAAGAAAAAGGTTTAAGCTTTTTCAGTTTAAAGTCAGAACTCTGAGATTAAAGTCAGAATTCTGCATTTATTTTTTCTGAGGGTCCTATTTAGGTTAATAGTCAACCTTATCTTCTTGTGGTGCGAGTACAACAACAAACATCCTCATAATGGAAGTCTCCTGCGAAGAAATATGTAATGTGCCTAAATTAAAAAGGACAAAAGGAACAGTGATTCATTTATTGGTTAACTCCTTGTTTTCTTTTATCTCAAAGTGCCCTTGAGGCCTTCAAATTATTGCGTTTTCTAAATTAAAAAAGGTAAAAAACATTCTGTGTACAATCATAAACAGAATAGAAATGTGGAACTTTGCACCGATTAATACAGAAGAATAAATGCTATTAACACGCTTAATGTCAGCAGCAGATCACACACAGGTGGCAGATACATGAGCACATGTCTTTAGTCAATGAGATTAATCTACTGCAGCAACAACAACAACAACAACAACCCTGCTCTCAAATTGCCTGAATATTACTCAGTTCACAATCTTTTACTTTAATTATCATGAAATAAAACGTGTTTAGTTTTTAGAGTCTGCAGTCATGCTAGCATCTTGGTGACGCATAGGCACCAGGCATTTTAGGTAAATGCTAACATTAAGTCTATCATGATGTTTTCTATGTTCACTATCTTAGTTTAGCGTGTTATTATTATGGTTTCAGACAGAGGGTAAAAGGAGGTCCTTTAGCACAGGCAGTATGAAAACAATGATTTCATAACATTAAATCATGGGCACATGTCACAGTAGAGGCACAAAATACAAATATGAAACCTGAAAATGAACTGTATATATATATCCTCTTTAAGGTGCGGGTCTGTAATGGGATGAAACTTTAGATCTCTTGCATGAAAGGCAGACCTATCAGACCAATCAGAATTTGGGTCCAGGGTCCAGGTGTCTGTAAACTAAATGCACAAAGAAACATTGACAATCTGGTAAATAGCAGATGGAAATGGTCTGGTATGAATACTGTGGGGTAACTGTGGAATGAGGAACAGGTGTGCAGGTTGAGATGGGAGTCAGGTGGATGGATGGAGAAGTAGTCCTGCAGAGTTTGAAGGAAATGGCCTGGAGGAAGTGGGACTGCGGCTCAGAAGCACAGGCAATCCCCTGCATGAAATGAAACAAATCAAAATAAAGTGAAACAAAAAAACTGATCTACAGTATGACTGTAATTTAATGTTTTTCTAAGCAAGTGGTGCAAGAGGTACATATATTAGAGTAATACAAATAAGAGGGTCTAAAGATATTAAAAGTCCTGAATTAAAAATGATACAAGTTAAGTACAGATTAAATGTCAGCAAAAAGTACCAAATCAAAACTAAAAGTACATCTAAATGTGCTGAATTACAAAGACTGACTCCATTCACTGTGTTATATTACTATATCATATAATTAGTTTGAGTTTTTATCCGTAACAAAAACATGTCAGAGCATTTTAATGTTCCATGTGAAGCCAATTGTATACATTGGATTGATTTGTGGTACTGTATCGTATATTTTTATATGTAAAAATAGTATGTGAAAAAAAGCAAGTGTCAGACAAATGTAAACTTTGATTGCAAACTATACGGCTCAATATCTTTAAAGAAAAAAGTGATTGTGGCTGACATTTCTACTATTAAGTTAAATGTTGAGGATGATAAAAGATTAAACAATTAATAAACAAAATGTCAGTGACTTTATAATCCAAGTCTTCCTCTACAAGCTCCTTTTAGAGGGAATGATGGACTGAAAATCTTTTCTTCTGGAGATGTTGACATTTTGGGAGGTCGTCCCCCCCAGGTCTGGTGGGTTTGTTGCCCTGGTAACCTGCGTTGCCTCAGAGGGTCGAGCCTCAATGTTTTTCTCCCAGGCTCGGCTGGCACTGAGCCCACATACCTCCCCTCTGAGGCGGGGAGAATAGAGCAGAGGGGAGGTGGTGGTAATGGTGGTAATGGTCACTTTAATTGGCACAAAGTGCGACGTACTACAAGGTGAATCTGCTGAAACTCATTCTGTTTGCATAATTTATCTGCCTCCTGCTGTATCCACTGCGTGTTAGTTTAATTTATGTACATGTGAAGTCAGTCCTCTCCAACTTATTATAACAAAATATCTTCTTCTTCTGATAAATAAACAGTTCAGACTATGTGCTGTTATATGGATGTCAGGTGGCTATTAAAGGGGCGCTATTAGGCTCCTTTTTAAAATTCCTAATTGTATTTTGTTCCTCTACTGTGACATGTTTACATGCTTTAATGTTCAAAAAGGTCTGAAACCAGAGCCCAGTCTCCTCTGATTGGTTAGCTGGCTGGCTCGGTTGTGATTAGAGATGTCCCGCCCCTAAGCCTACACAAAAAACGATGTAACACACTACAGGAAAGGGGAAACCCAACAAAGCATAATAGGGTAATCTCAAACACAACTCAGAATAAAAGTGCATCCAGATTGAACTAAAAAGGAATTTCAAACTCATGCTATTCACAGTCAAAGAACAGGACATGTTTGCTGTTCCTTAATCCCACTTTGGGAGAAAAAGCTAAAACATTCAACATGCATTCCCACATCTTTGATTTGTATATCCCCAATTTAATCTCAGTTTTTCCTTTCATAGACCTCAACCTAAATGAAACTACGTTTGTAAGTCTGAGGGTAAAAGTGTGTATCGCTGTTTAGTATGGGTTGCACTCAAAGACAGACAAAAGCCCCTCCGGATGTAGAGGTGAGACACAATTTCAGACATTTTTCTTTTAAAAGGAATTCATTATGTAGAACTTGTTTGTGCAAAAAACAAGCGACAAAGTATCTGTGCAAAGCAGTGGTTCTCACAGTGGGGTCTGTGTTACTCTCTCTGAAAAGACCATACTCATTTATTTTAATTATCATGAAATAAAACTTGTTTTGCTGACATGCTAGCATCCCGGTGACACTTTACATAGGCAACAGGCAGTTGAGCTAAATGCTAACATGCTAAAGTTGAGCAGATAGCCTATGATGTTTTCCATATTCACTATCTTGGTTTAGCTTGTCAGCATGCTAACAGTGGCTAATTGTCACTATGCTGGGGCTGATGGGAATGCCATGTCAGAAATACTCACTCCTTATTCCTGTCACCCACACACACACACACACCCCTCCCCCATTTAAGTGGGTTGGTATTAATTAATGCTCCTCACCCTGCAGGTCCTTGTTGTTTCCTGCAGAAACTTTGTTCTGTTTCTGTGTGTGTGTGTGTGTGTGTGTGTGTGTGTGTGTGTGTGTGTGTGTGTGTGTGTGTGTGTGTGTGTGTGTGTGTGTGTGTGTGTGTGTGTGTGTGTGTGTGTGTGTGTGTGTGTGTGTGTGTGTGTGTGTGGTGTGTGTGTGTTCGGTGTGAGTAATTTAGTAGCATAACTATTCACATAGATAACATAGTAATTTCCTGCACGGTAATCATTATTCTTGTTTAAGAAACCAAAAAAAAGTAAATTGATGGAGGGACTTTTTATAGTTTTTTTATGAATATTGAAGCAGCGGGATTGGATGAGACTTGAAGTGACTCCAGAATTCAAATCTTCTCTCAATGAGCTGCAGAGGAAGCTGATAACAAACTGCCTCTCCTAATGGAGTGTCTGACGGGTAAATTAGGCTGTCAGGGTGAACACTGAGGATTACACCGACTCTGCTACCAGCTCCAGGAAGGAATACATAACACTTAGAAAGTCAGTGACTTCTTAGCCACCAAATGTCCATGGAGAGCAGCTTTATGTCCCTCAAAATGAGGTCAGTCTCTAGTGAAAAAGAAAAGGCAATCACTTTTAATGAGAAACTTTTCAAGGAAACTTTTACTGCCGATGTGTGCACAGAGGAGGGAAGAGCTCAATTTAAATGCATGTATTTATTTTAGATGCCTGAAGACATCTGTACCACTCAGTTGTGTTTTTCTTTTATATTAAACTGCTTTTTTTCGGCTGATGTGTAAAATTTTCTCAAGAAATCCAAGAATAATTTCTCTATAACAGGGTAATGTGTTTACAGGTCTTTTCTTAGTAAAACATTCAAAGATTATTCATTTAATATGTTCCAAAATCTCCATAGTTAAGATGCTTAAAACTGCATCTCCTCCCATTCTATCTGAATGAAAAATAACTAATAAACTGGTTTTGCGATCATTTTTCTGTTGATCAACTCTCCAAGTACCCTCTAGCTTCTCTTGTTTTTATGTTTTAATGTATTTAATTTCACCCCGTATCCTGGTGATACTGGCGTCATATCAGAAAAATACTTCCTTTTGTTTATCTAGGGGTATTTTGTCGGTTAATTTCGAGTATATTTGAAGTTATTTGGAGAAATGTAAAGTGATGTCTGTGAGCAAACAAAGGGCTTTAAAGTGGGTTTAGCTTCTTGCACACTCTTTGTTGCATTCCTTTTCTCCTGACAGAGGGCTATTGATTGAGTTTATTGATCAGGGTCTATATTTGGACGTCTTTAAGAGGAGGAGGCAGACAGGTGCACAGATGGACAACAAACAAAAGAAGAAACTCCATTATCCATCTGCAGTCTGTTCCTTTGTCTGAAACAACCACAGTCACTCTCCTTTTGTTTGATGTATAGTCAGTGTTCCTTCTCTTGTTGATGCATGTTCAGAAATACATCAGTGTAGCAGATCAAATAAAAAAGCTGCAGACATTTAAATTCTGTCTCTAAGCTCTCGTCCTCAGAGATGGTCTCAGAGTTAAGCCTGGTTTAACAGCGTGGGTCGGAATCTGTCTGGAAAGGAAACAATAAAAAAGGAAATCAAAATATGAGTATTTTATGAATGAGAGCTGTGGGAGTTGTGGTGGATGTGGAGAAAAGAGATTAAAGACATACAAAGAAATGAAGATTAATTTAGAGGATGTTGAGCTGGAAATCTTCTCAGAAACGTCAACTCGTAAAACTGAGGATCTGGTTTAGTTTCTGAAGCCTCTCATTAAACCTGAAGTACTGCTGGGCCAGTGTCAGTGCTTTTATATCCAAAATATGATAAAATGATGATGATAATATCAATGTGGGGAGACTAACAGGTCACAAACTGCTTCACAGAAGATTACAGATTTAATAAACAATATAAAAGGAAGAAAATAGCAAACACTTAAGGTTTTTATTTTAAACTACTTGGCTTTGAACAATACAAATATAAATATTGGAGAAGGTCCCACAATTACATAAGTATTATGTTATATTAAAAGACAAACCACAGCATTGTCCCAATAAAAAAGAGATTTAGATGTCTGTGTATATTTGTGTGTTTAAAAATAAATAAACAGGATATCTAAATAAATGTAAAAAGAAAATTATTATATGCAAAATATTTAAAATATAAATAAATAAATAATTAACTAAAATAAATCCGTAATCATAATCTAAAAACAATAATAAAATATGTATCTGTATTTATTGCTATAAAGCTGTATTTTGTATATATATATATATATATATATATATATATATATATATATGTGGATCTCTTTACAGTCTGCTCCCAGACAAAGAGAAGAGGCTTCAAAAGAAAAATATGTATGAGTCTCGAAGGGTTAAAAGTCTGACAGGCTGTGCAGGAGAAATAGAGCTCACATACCAGAGCAGTGAGAGCAGCCTGTGGAGCTTTAATCCACAAAACAGAAACCGGACCAGAAAACTATGTGAAATACTGATCCCTTCTATAAGAAACACGAGTAAAAGTCTGTTAGAGCCATAAGACATGATATTGTCTTCAATGGCACTCTTGAGTCCTGAGATAGGAGGTACACTTGTATTTGTGTACTATTGTTAGGGGTGCACAACATGAGGAAAAGATGCTATAATGTTATTTATAATAATAAAAAAAACAGAAAGCAAAGCAAACTTAATTCTGCTTTGCTTTCTGTCTTTCCGTGTAGTAAAAATGATAAAGAACAAATGATGCGGTTACATTTTAAACTGTAAACGTTTTTTACAGAATAAGTTGAATTAAAACTGACTTGACAATATAATGAAGATAATGCCTATACATCTGTAGATTATCATGGTTTCTTTCGTTTTTTCTCTCCTTTTAAAGCACTTTAAATTGCCTTGTTGGTGAGTTAATGAAAGGCACACACACAAAGCGTCAGAGGTCCCCATGACGTGACTGTGCAAACAGATCGTTGTCCCCAAAAATAGATGAATACCAACACACACACACAGGAATGTGTTCATTTCCCCTTCGGTGTGAATGTTTACACTCGAATGTTGAACATTTTTTTGAAGCACATTGAGAATAATAGTCCTTTGAAGGGAGGAATGTAGTGTGTCTGAGAGGTTGTGTGTGTGTGTGTGTGTGTGTGTGTGTGTGTGTGTGTGTGTGTGTGTGTGTGTGTGTGTGTGTGTGTGTGTGTGTGTGTGTGTGTGTGTGTGTGTGTGTGTGTGTGTGTGTGTGTGTGTGTGTGTGTGTGTGTGTGTGTGTGTGTGTGTGTGTGTGTGTGTGTGTGTGTGTGTGTGTGTGTGTGTTGTGGTTTAATAATTGACACTGGTTATTGTCATTCTGACTGTGTTATATCTGAGGATAGCAATTTATTTTAAAACCTGACACTAGTTTGTCTTTTGTTCCATTATTCTGTACAGCACTATTAACATTAATTGATATACAATCCGAGCCACATAAATTCATTCTTGTCTTCATTAACAGGTTCTCCAGTGATTGTAATAATAATTTATATTTGATCATTGATAAAATAATCCTAACGAGAAAGATTCAAAAGAAGAGGAGGCAGATACTGAAGCGGCAGCTGAGATATCCCCACTCTCATTTCTAATATGGCTCAAACTCTGAAAATACTGGATCCCACATTTCCCAGGATGCATCAGAACCTATGATCAGAACAGCATATTGTCATTAAGTAATTTCTCAGGCTTCGTAGAGCTTACAGAGACAAGAGTACATGACACCACTGTTTCCACAACTGGCTGTTTACTCCAGATGACTGGATTTAGTTAAAAAACTACTTACTGTATGTAATCATGCAGAACTGAGTCCAAACCATCTGAACAGTCATGGTCCAACACACCATTTCCTTTCTTTCCTGATAGCAAGAAGAGAAGAGTTTAGAGTATGCAGCACAATTATTAATACAATATTTTTTTGGAAATAACCACATTAAAGTGATAGCAGTGAATGTTCAGGAATAACATTTAAAGATTAACAGGGAATCTGGTAATGTATAATTCAATCATAGATTACCTTAACAAAATTCAAATGATGACTCAATTGCCCAAATTGGCTTGGCATAACATTACAGCTTTATTATCAAAATATATTTGTTTTAAAATTAAGACCTTTAATATTTGGGTTGCTGCTGTGGTAAATCCCCAAAACAATCTGCAAGTATTTCAGTTGATCAGATCTCTGTCTCCCTCTAGTGTTCAGTTTGAGGAATCACAGGAAGGTCAGAGAAGAAGTAGGATTATTATGTGTTCTTAAAAAGGTATTTTATCCTTATTTTATATAAAAGAATCTCACAGTTTGTACTCATATAAAAAACATAACATACTCTATGAACAACAATATGGTTTAAGAGCAAACAGAACTACATCATTTGCAGTTATAGAATGTATGGAATACATTACTAAGGCAATAGAAAAGAAAGAATATGCAATAGGGATATTTCTGGACCTTAAAAAAGCATTTGACACGGTTGACCATGAATTATTAATAACAAAACTACAGAGATATGGCCTTAGAGGTGTTGCACTATCATGGCTAACCAGCTACCTACATAACAGGGAACAGTACGTTGAACTACAAAGCCATAAATCACAACTACTGCAGGTTACATGTGGGGTGCCTCAGGGCTCAGTCTTGGGGCTATTACTATTTATTCTGTATATTAACAATATATGTGAAGTATAAAAAACTATTAAAACCATTCTTTTTGCAGACGACACAAGTCTACTCTGCTGTGGGGACAATTTAGAACAGCTATTGGTCACAATGGAGAAGGAACTGAGCAGGATGAAGATCTGGTTTGACCAAAATAAATTAACATTGAACGCAATCAAAACCAAACTCATAATATTTGGGAATCGATCGACCAATACAGAGAAGAAACTCACTATAAATGGCGTCCAATTAGAAAGAGTATCGGAAATAAAATTCCTTGGAGTAATCATAGACAATAAATTAAGTTGGAAACCACATATAAGCTATATCAAAGCCAACATATCCAAATCAATAGCAATTCTGAATAAAGCCAAATACCTAATTAATCAAGCTTCTTTGTTTATGCTGTACTGCTCCTTCATACTTCCATACATGATGTATTGTGTGGAAGTTTGGGGGAACACATATAAAACAAATACACATCCTATTTTCATCCTGCAAAAAAGAGCCATACGAGTTATACATAAAACTACGTACAGAGAACCTACAAATAAATTGTTCATCAAACTAAAAACACTAAAACTACAACCTGGTTGACTATAAAACTATTCAAATTATGTTCAAAGCCGCAAATCAATAATTACCTCATAATATCCAGGGACTTTTCAGACGGAGAGAAAGCATGCACATGTTGAGAGGAAACTGTATTTTCAAAAAAACACCCATACGAACAAATGCCAAACTTCATTGCATCTCATCAAAAGGTGTTAGTCTGTGGAATAACTGTAACGATGCACTGAAATATTGTACAAGTCTATCTAAAGTGAAAGTATTATTTAGGAGTCAAATCATTAATGGTTATGAACAGGACCTGTAAAATCCCATTTGTTGTTATTTCTTGTAATTGTAAAAGTAATTTCTGATTGTTTTGTAAAAAAACAAAAAGCAAACAAATTAACAAGACAAACATGTCGCTGATGACGATGACCTAATATTTTATTTACAAGAAAAATATATGTGAGGGGGTAGGACCAGAAAAGTTTTATTTTTAAGCTTCTTCTTGCCCCTGTTGAACATGACAGAGACTATTTGAGAATTATTGTTGTACTTTGTTATAATTATTAATTTGAGTGAGAAGAAAAAAAGAATATATATATTATTGTATGTTTTTGTTTCTGACATGTTCAATAAATTGACAAAAAAAAAAAAATATTAAAATAAAATACATTTGTATTGCTTTTCTCTAATTTCTGAGAATATTCTCAGGAAATACACAACATTCTACGAAGGTCTAAAGGCATTAAGATGAGTATTCCAGCTTGTTTTACAGTCTCATAATATTATATATTAGTATTAGAACTTCTTTCTTTTAAAAATATGGGTTGTATCAAAAGGTGAACATTTAGTGTAAACGACTTAATTTTTCCAAATAATTTCAACTTAATTCTAAAAATCTAAATCTGCATACATCATACAATGAATTTACAGTAAATGTTTAACTTTATACATAACACAGTCAACACTTGTTTTTAAAGGATAACATCACAACAAAACCCCACCCAGTGTTTTATTAACAGATTACTTTTATTATAAATATACAGTGTTGGAATGGTACCCGACACTGCCAGCCGTTTTACCGTGTATAGAAACTACAACAAAATGTAACCAGAGTTTGCGATGCAGATCTGCAATCATCAAATCACATGACACGTTAATACAGAGTCAATCAAAAGATCCAATATCCCCTGTGCACACGGGCAGGTGGCTGAATACACCAGAATGCATCGCTTCTCTTCAACAGCTGGTGAAGAAAAGATTACGATTTATGCTTTTAGAGTTTTAACTTTTGTTTCGAGGAGAAAGAATAACAAAAACATGAGAAGAAGGGATGTCAGGTGATAAGAATGAGATCACATGTGACTGAGACATTCATTGTTACTTAACAACCAACGGTTTATAAAAAGTTGCCACATGTTGTTACGGTGTGTGAAGCAGGTAGGACCCAAATGCAGATTAACGTGAAAATTCCTTTATTTCAAGGCTATACTAACAAAGACAGAACAGAACACTCACCGAGGACAAGCCAAATCACAAGACGAACCGACACTGAACACAGGAAGAGGGCCACCAGGGTGGGTGGAGGGGGTCCGGAGGACGGGTCTGGGCTGACAACCCAAGAGCACCGCGGAGGACCCGGAAGGGATCTCGGGCGGACGGCCCGGGGGCAAGGCAGAAGCCGAGAAGGGGGACTCGGGCGGACGGCCCGGGGGCAAGACAGAGTCCAAGGTGGGGGTTATGGAGGGGCGAAGGCCACCGCGGGCGAACTCAGGGGGCCGAGCATGAGGGCGAGGGCCGCGGCTGGGAAAGTCAGGGGGCCGGGCTCGAGGGCGAAGGCCATGGCTCTCAGGGAGCCGGGATCGAGGGTGAAGACTGCGGCTCTCAGAGGGCCGGGCTCGAGGGCGAAGACCAGACAGCTCCGGAGGCTGGGCAGGAAGGCGCTGACAGCCAGAATCATGGCTGTCAGGTCCGGTTCTGAAGCCGGAAACATGGCTGTTAGGTCCGGTTCTGGAGCTGGAAACATGGCTGTTAGGTCCGGTTCTGGAGCCGGAAACATGGTTGTAAGGTCCGGTTCTGGAGCCGGAAACATGGCTGTAAGGTCCGGTTCTGGAGCCGGAAACATGGCTGAATGGGCCGGCCCTGGAGCCAGAATTGAAGCCAGAATCATGGCTGTAAGGTCCGGTTCTGAAGCCGGAAACATGGCTGTAAGGTCCGGTTCTGGAGCCGGAAACATGGCTGTAAGGTCCGGTTCTGGAGCCGGAAACATGGCTGTATGGGCCGGCTCTGGAGCCGAATCCATGGCTGCCGGGACCGGTTCTGGAGCAAGGACCATGGCTGCTGGGGCCAGAACTGGGTCTGTAACCATGGCTGCTGGGGGCTGAACTGGTTCTGGAACCATGGCCTTTTGGGCTCGTGCTGCTAACCTGGCCTTGCGACTCCTCTTAGGAGCCGTTTGGAGGCTCCGTGGACCTCCAAAGGCCAGACGAGTACCAGCGAATGGCTCCTGGACTGTAGCAAACACTGGGTGAGAAGCAGGGGCTGACGCCAGACGGACCACACCGATGCGTGTGGTATCAAAAAGGGAATCTGGAGATCTGGGTCTATCAGGATCGGGAAAACAAACCGTGAGGTAATCCAAAAGCCAGGCCGGTAAGAATTTAACCAAATCTTGATTCCTCAGCGTAAGGTGGACTGCATCTGCCAGAGCAGCATCTCGCTGCTGAACCCTGACCGCTCCTATCCATCGATGAGCACATTCAGACAAAGAAAAGGTATAATCCACTAGTTCCTGCTCAAACGGATCTGCTGGGCCCATATCGTGGTCGGTTCGTAATGTTACGGTGTGTGAAGCAGGTAGGACCCAAATGCAGATTAACGTGAAAATTCCTTTATTTCAAGGCTATACTAACAAAAACAGAACAGAACACTCACCGAGGACAAGCCAAATCACAAGACGAACCGACACTGAACACATGAAGAGACAAGAGTAAATACAGGGAGGGGTAATCACAAGACGAGACACCGGGCAGGGGAGGAGAAACACAAGGGCCACAGGTGAAAACAATCAGACAACTAGACACACCAGGGAAACTAACGACGGGAGGAAAAACACAAGGAAAAGGACCAGACAATATAACAAGAGGAAAACATGACAGGGAGAACAGCAAAACACCCAAACCAAGACATAGAAAACGTGACATAACACAATAATCGTAACACATGTTGCATTAACAATAACATCAATATTCCACTTTTTCGTGATGAAATGACACTTTTACTGTATAAAGACTACATTTCCCATAAACCCTTTCGCTGCATGTATTTGTAGCTTCAAACGTTGAAGTCTTACATTTAAAAATAGACTACAAAGAACTTTTGCCATTTATGTCCTACTTAACCCTGTGACATTTTGTTAATTCATCTTTTTGGCAGAAATATAACCACCAGCTCATTCACATTCAACACAAATGTAAAAAATCTGCTGGTTTCAGTTCATTAAATGTGGAAATGTGCCGGATATCTTTCACTTTGTGATAGTTAACTGAATCATTTGGGGTTAGACAGCTAATCAGAAAATAATGAATTGAAAGTTGTTTATAATAAATCCCAAGCAGTGACTCTTCTTCTACTGTCTACATGTCTGCTG